TTTTGCTGCCCCTCTAAAAACACCCCTGGGCCCCCTTGTCCTTATTTACCGTATATACCTGTGTGTAGTTCGAGTTTTTAAGACCAAATTTTTTGGCAAAAAATTGGGGGTCGACCTCTAAACGGGTAATAGTTTCGTTAGGTTGAAAAATATTTACCAGTAAACAATGGAAACGACGCACCACCAGCTGTGAGTGTTGGTACAGTTGCCAGGGCAGATCTCTTGCGTCATCATAGCAAGCCCAAAGTAGCCAAATGCATGGTATGGTAGCACAGGACGATATAAAACAAAGTATTCATTTTTTAAAGTTTATTTATAGATGCATAAATTTTTTTTATTACATTTGAAACATCAATCTTTGTTAATTAAATTTGAAACTAAAGAAAACGACGATACCGTATTTCTGAATACCGGGTATTTTCATTAAAATATTACATCACAAGTATATTTTACCTTAACTGTGACTGAATGAATATATTCTCAGAAATAAATATGGAAATGTAATATTTTTGCTGAAATGACGTACGTATTACAGTGGAAAGTGGGATAAAATCATGACGAAAACAATGACTTTCGCTTTCTTTCGTTGTTCAAAAGATTTACCGTAATCGCTTTTTGAATGGTTTTCAGTTAAAAAACTGTTGTATTACAATAATATTCTATCCTAATTCACTTGAATAAATATGATAACATATTTCTGAATATTTTCATTAAAATCCATCAAAATCATTTTCCTTGTCATCATCTGCAGCACCAAACAGCTCCTCCCAGTCCTCTCCTTGAACAGCATCGTCATATGGATCAACACCATCATCAGCCATAGGATCATCAATATCTTCATCCTCAATCACGCTCTCATTAGCCTCATAATCCCACAACAAGTCGTCTTCTGTTCCATCAAGAGCATTCGAAATCCCACGTTTCTTAAAAGATTTCGCCACAATTTCTGGTCTGATTGCGACCAGGGCTCTGCCGTATCAGCTAGACGGTACACGTGTTTTTCGAATCGTTTTCAGTTAAAAGCTGTTGTATCACAAGTGAATTAGGATAGAATATTATTGTAATACAACAGTTTTTAACTGAAAACCATTCGAAAAGCGATTACGGTAACATCTTTTGAACGAAAGAAAGCGAAAGTCATTGCTTTCGTCACGATTTTATCCCACTTTCCACTGTAATACGTACGTCATTTCAGCAAAAATATTACATTTCCATATTCTCAGAAATAAATAGTAGTTTTGCTGAAACGTAATGTATTTCAATGTAAATTAGGATAAACTACATGAAAACAAAAGACTTTACCTAACCTTCTGACGTTCAAGATATGTTACTCGTTTCTTTAATAGTTTTCGGTTAAAATACTGTTATATTAGTGATATTCTATTCATACTGTGCTTGATATACAGTCGACCCTTGTTAATTCGGACTAATAGGGGGGGAAGGGTGTCCGTTTTAGCCGATTGTCCGAATTAACCGATTTAGGGGTTAATATTGCATTATATTTCAAAGTCATTGTTTTCGTCACGATTTTATCCCACTTTCCACTGTAATACGTACGTCATTTCAGCAAAAATATTACATTTCCATGAATGTATTATATCAAGCACAGTATGAATAGAATATCATTGTAATATAACAGTATTTTAACCAAAAACTATTAAAAAAAACGAGTAACTTCTCTTGAACATCGGAAGGTTAGGTAAAATCTTTTGTTTTCGTCATGTATTTTATCCTATTTTACATTAAAATACATCACGTTTCAGCAAAACTACTATTTATTTCCGAGAATACAGTGACCCCTCGGTTAACGAACTCAATCCGTTCCAGAAGGTCGTTCGTTAACCGAAACCATTGTTTCAATGGGTTTTTGGGTAATTGGTTCCAGCTCACCGAAAATTTCCTAAATTCAACAAAAATGGTAGAAAAGTTCACTTACTTTGAGGTGTGTATGTAGAAGGCTCCTGGATGATGATGATGAAGATGATGGGAATTACAATGGGGGTGGAGGAGAAGGAAGAAGAGAAGGCATTGGGGTGGAAGAGAAGTCACCCCATGGCACCATTTCACCCATAAAATTTTAGTTCTCTTGGTGTATTTCAAGATTATTTTCTTTAAATCAACACTGTACTGCATTATATATTGTCAATATGTAAAATATATTTCAAAATGACCAATAATTTGCTTGGAAACACAGAAAAAAGCGTTTAGTTGAAGAGAGTCTCAAGCAAGATGTTACCTCCAGTGAAAACAGAGAGAGACTAACGCCTGTTTGCTGTGTTAAGAGGCTGGATGCTGCGCTTTAAACTAGTCACTTTACCTTCAATTATGTTCAATAATTGTTAAAATGACTAAAAAATTGAATATTAAACTTTTAAAATTATTGAATAGTATAAACTTCTTGATATTTACTAAAATAGTTAGGAATTTAAGCCCTAGAACCGATTAATGTATTGGCGGACTGATAGTAAAGCTGGTTGCCCGGCCAGTGCAAGCGAAAACATGTTGAGGTCGGTTCGTAAGAAATTCGTTAACCGAATTTTTGTTCGTTAACCGAATTGAAGATCCTTATGGAAGGCAGTTCGTCAACCGAAATTTCGTTAACCGAGGCGTTCGTTAAACGAGGGGTCACTGTATATTCATTCAGGCACAGTTAAGGTAAAATATACATGTGATGTAACAGTTTTTTAACTGAAAACGATTCGAAAAACACGTGTACCGTCTAGCTGATACTCAACAGCTGGTGGTGCGTCATGCGTCGTTGTAAACAATAGGAGGTTGAAGTAGATTACCGGGTATTATATTAAGTGTGAAATATTGAAAAGGTTTTTATTACCGATATTTTTTGTAGATCAATGAGAACTGTGATACCGTATATGATATGATAAGTTAACCTGTGCTAAGAACTTCAACATAGACTACTGAAAACACGTTGTAAGGTAATTTAGCCTATTGTAAGTTGGTGAACTTCATTTGCTGAAGGGAAAACCAGAATATTTACCTTTTTAGTAATAAATAATACCTCGAACTAAAGTTAGGATAATATAATTGACAGTGCTGGATTCCTTTTAAGACCAGGAATATTTCGAATATAAATGTCATATATTTTGCACAAAAGATAACATATTTACTCAGAGTAAACATTATATCTAAAATTTGTATGTCTAATGCAAAATCTATGATGTTTATATTCAAAATGATCATCATATTGTAAGAATTCCAGCAATGTAAATTATATTCTGGCCGGGTAATTTGTGTGAATTTTATGAGCTAAATAAAACAAAAAAATTCTACTTCACCGCGTATATGGGTAGATGAACCGCGTTAAGTGAAAGTTCGGTTCTGGCGAGGCACCGCTTAAAGTGAAACCGCGTAAAGCGGGGTAATACTGTATATGTATTTGATTGGATTAATGTTTATATATGTGAAATGAACAATGCAATTCATTAATAATACGTAGAATATTAAAACACTCGATGAGACAAGACGGCATTGTTTTCGTGAGTGACGATGGTTCTTCATAAGAAACTGAAGAAAATAAGACCCTGGTTCTAGCTGTAGTGAATTTAATGTGAAAAAAATTGAATACCTGTATGTATGTTTTAAGTAATGTTATTTAATGTTAATAAATGGAACACTAGAAGTAGCTAACCACTAATGGTAAAGAAATAAAGCGAGACAGATTGGGAACACCAACGAATGAACAGTTAGTGCGTACATGTGAAAACGTATCGTCATTTCTCTACATATGAATATGAAAGCAACACTTATTTACTGTTCATATATGTTTTAAATAATATTTACGAATGTAAAACAAAAATTCTACTCACCAATGGTGGTAAAGTCTAAAACATAAGGACAGCCACTGATGATGTGCGAGTTTTTACTCAGCGAAGTCTTCAGGTTCAACTCTGGCTGAAGCTGTAGCTTTCCATAAAGCTGTTGCTGAAACTGTTACTGAACCTGAAGTTGATGTTGAAGCTGCTTATGATGCTGAATTTGATGGTATAGCTGAAGTTGATGGTTTAGGCCTTAGAATAATAAAGCTGTTGAAAGAACCTTGCACAGCTGCTTTCTTTTCTCATTATACATCTATGTAGAGGTCATGTGCGTTTATTTAAATTTTGATGCTTTGTTCTGTTAATGGATTCACTTCAGAAAATGTGTTCATTGCTTGCTCCATATAATATCCACAGACTTCTCACCTTTTTCATATTGTTTTAACACATCTAGTTTCTCGGCTAAGCTTATACACTTCCTATTAGCTTTTGAAACAACACTACCATCACATGCTCTCTTGCTCATGTTGAATAGGGATGCAAAAATGTTGTGTGAAACCTGAGAAAGTTTTTCTCATTTTCCTGTTCAGATGCCAGCTGCGATTGTTTATACTAGTGATGCTGGCATCACCACTAACAAGCCTGGCAGCCTCCGTGCACAAGGCGTGGGTTTTTTTTATATCAGGATTCAGTTATTATTTATACGAAAATGTAATTTTTTTTTTATCGTAAATACGAAGAAAATAATTACGTAAATTAAATTGGGTCCTAAATTAACCAGGGTCTTAGAGATGATTCTTCGTTAGTTGAACGGTCGTTATCGGAGGCTTTACTGTACTTCATTGATTTCTAAATTGCACAGGTGTGTACATGCGAAAAAAAAGTTCTTGTAAAGCGGGTCTTACATTGGGATATGAGAGCTGCATTTATCCCATCCGATTTTAAATATTATTGTAGGGTATCATAATTTTTCATTTGAGAATAAGCTGGGTATGCCTTGTGAATATCAAATAGGAGTGTTAAAATACCAATTGCGGAAAAGCGGGGGTTGCGAATAGCAAGGTATTCCTGTACTACTACTGACTCAATGAGGTGCCAGATGTTTTCATCAGCCACAGTTTGTCTCACTTACTACAGTACTTGGCTAACTGTACATGCACATTTCTCTTTCCAGGAAAATGTGTCATTACCTGGAACCTATTCTATCTCTCTCTATTTTTCTAGATTGAAGACTTTACTCAGTATGCTAAATCAGCTGAGGAAGCTTTTGGTCAATATGAATCTGAAAAAGATAAAGATCTTGTTCGTGATGATCCTGACACACAAGAGCTCCCACCTGAGTGGTTCCTGAAGGTTAGTTTTAATTTTCTCACTGTTGGTCAGATTGTTTTTTGTGCAGTTTAGTGTACCTTTTACAAACAAAATATTTTACTTTGGAGATAAAGTATTGCACTTACAATACATATGTTATTGTTTAACACAATAGTATTTTATAAATGTTTGCTTAATTAGTTACCACTTGACTTTGTGTATTACTGTGTTGATAAAGAGTTACCTCATGTTAGAATAATAAAATAAACAAAGTACCTGTACAGTAAAACAGTGAAGGAGAAGTGGTTTTCAAGTCAGGTTTTGAGCAGTATCATTTGGATTTACTCTGGACTTTCTGCCTGTCATTGAGCATAATCCCTTTGCTTAGCACTGATTAAGCTGTTAATGTTTGGCTGCATGTTTGATACACTCATCTTTAGTGTCTGGTGCTGGTGCTGATTGGACAGTCACCTTGGAGAATGTCTGTTTGCAATTGTGTACTCTAAAGAACTGTGACCATTCCAGCTCTAAACTTACTGAAATTAGAATAAAAATCTTAGGATGGCTGGAGGATGTGTCAGTCTTTGCTGATGTATATGAGGTTTATTGACATGCATGCAGGATGGATATAAGCCATTTGATATGACATAGGTGAGACTATATTAGACTAGATCAGGACCCCTGTACTAGGGTCACATGCAAACAAAACACAGTAAATAACACATGATGGCAGATCGGCCACAAAACGCCACTTAGCTGTGCCACTGACATTTGGAAAACAAGGTGAAGAAACAATTTACCCTTGGAGAAACCACAAGTAGTACAGCAGTCAGGCATGGGGACAAAGTCAAGCCTCCAGCTTCCAAGTCGAAGCCAAAGCCAGACTAAAAGTTATGAAACTGAAGCCAGACATTAAAAAAGTCATGAAGCTGAAGCCAAGTCTTTTTAAAGCTCCGTGAAACCTTAATGCCATTATTTATATATACAGTACTAATATACTTTATTACCTTATATGGTGATGGGAATACGTATGGTATTCTAAGTTGTAACATTGGCTTTGAGATAAGCTAACTTTATTTTAACACTCTTGGGGTTTTCATACACAAATTTGGGTATGAATTAAAAAATTACAATAAAATAATTTTATGTTTGCATATGAGCATTAGACACGCAAGACACACATCTGGCAATGTCGGTGTGATCTGGCACCTATGTAGACTGCCTCCAAGGTTACGTCAGTGAGCACACTAGTCTCCCTTTGTGGTTCAACAGCACAGGACGTAACCTTGACATATATTTCCCACCATTTTCTCGTGGCTTGAGCTAATTTCTCGTTCATCACATTTATTAATTACGGTGTTGTGATAGTTTTGAACCATGCCTCGTGTTGCTAGTGAAGATGGAGGTGTGGGAAAAAGTAAAAAGTACAAGGAGATTGTACCACGTGGTGATAGTGTGGTGCCTCCTGAGGCCTCTTCTAGTTTCCTTGGCCCTTCTAGTGTCAGTGAGGCCCTTCAACAAGCATCCTAGTGTGAAAGGAACTGCCTGACATGTCATTGTGGCTAGAAGGAAAAATAAAAAAGTGTTGCACATGTGGTATCTCAGCCATCTCGGCATGGCTTACCTCATGACAGCTCATCTCCCTCACAAGTGCGCACTACCCGTACTCCCACTAAAACTAGATTTAGTTGCCTTGTTCAGTACAGCACGGTGGAGGAGGGAATAGGGCAGGAGGGGGAGGATCATCACCAAGTGCTCCAACATCTAACAACATGTAAGGCCAGAAATTTATGTAGGTTCTTAAGATATTCTGTGTAATATTTTTATGCATTACATTTAACCAATTATTTACAGTTATTGTTTCAGATGAATTTCGAAAATAACAAGTGTTTATAAACACATTATGTATAATTTATGTAAAAAATATAGAAACTTTGAGCCAGGAATATTAGCATTTGGGAGCGTGAGTGGCAGCCATGCACTACAATTTGTTATACATGTGCTAAATTCATTTTATCCAAAATACCGTAAAGTCACAAATCACAGAGAATCAACCGTTTGAAATCTTTGATCTCTTACAATGTTTAGGTCAGGTCCTTGTGAGAATAGGCCAGTAGTGATAACTAGGGATGTCAGTTTGGATCTCATTTCATGTAAGGTCAGATCAAAGTCACATGGCCTATTCACATTTGACCTGACCTTGCCTAAAATTTAACCTCCCCAGCACTACCTAGGGTGGAGATTCTGACCTGATTGACTTGTGACGATATGTTTTCGTGTTGGCACTGGTCACTGACACTGGTTAGTAATTTTGGCGCTGACACAACAACCCATGTCACTTGTCAAGTCAAGCCAAAATTGTGCTTCCTTGGATCCACTAATTTGTTATATTTATTTAATATGATCTAAATACAATTACAGTAAGTCCTCGCTCAACCCATGCTCTACATATTTCTTATTTTATAGATTTTATATCATTTGCTTTGTTTATAAGTCACATTAGAGTATTGCAATTATTTTTCCACAACTTTTATAGTTTCATTATATGTAACAATGGTACCATGCATTAATCTCTCCCTCCCACTGTAAGGTGGGGCGAGGAGTGGTAAAGACCACAGAGACCCCTCACGGCCAGTAGTGGAAGTTGTCAGACGCCGTACACAAGCTCCCTTGCTCCCCATGCAACCTGTAGTGCAATCCGCAAAGGGGCGAGGGCCTAGTTGTTTAAACCCTCATAGTTTAAGGGACATGTGGACATAATGTTGTTATACATATGCATATAGCTATTTATATGTACAGTAAGATCTTGTATTTTGCGAGTAATATAGACTGGAAAAATTGCGCCAAATGCCAATACATAAACTAATGGGAAAAATAGCAATATAGACTGGCCACTCGACATCAAACTCTGATTTTCCCATTTATAACCTTCAAATGATGCAAATTCTGCCTTTACTTACTTGATTGTGCTTTCCGGAACTAGCATTTACGCCTTCTTCAAGTAATTTAATCACACTGCTTATCCTGCATCGAGTACTTGGCATACTTAAACTCCCTTTTGATAGTCCCGCTTCTCCTTTTCCTTGTTTGACCACTTAGGTGGGTCTGTCCCAGCACCAGTAGGACCCCCAGTAGAGGTAGAGGCCATTATCTTGACTCGACAGGTGGTAGCACCACCCAAAAAAGCACACAATAACAGCCCGGGCGGTCGCTAGGATGGGGCAGGCTACAATGCGATAGTTGCGTTCTTTTAAACCTCTTTTACGTTCACCACCGGCAATTCGATCACCAGAACGCTTCTTGGAAACATTGTTCTTACTATGTCTTTCCACATTCATCGCTAACACAACAAAATTGGAGAAAATAACGAAAATCACGGAGTAATTGACAGAAACTGCGCAATTCAACTCGTCACGTGATGTAAACAGAGAGCGCTGGTGTAAACCGTTATTAGTTCTCACTGCGAAACATTCTTTTTACTTATTTTTTTCATCCAGTATTTATGGGTAACAGCTAAATTTGCAAAAAATAAATAAAAATTTATGGAGTACCCCTCAAAAAACACTTCACAAACAAAAGGTACGAATCAATTGAACATGTGATGTCGAATGTGAACTGTAAACATTGCATAACCCCGCGCTTAAAACGTTGAGGATGGAATCGCATACATTCGTATGCAAAAGTTTGCATTTTACAAACAGCATTCCCCTATTCATCAATCACGTTGCAACCAATTCGCGTTTACACAACACGTGTTGTAGCAGAAATAACTGTAACTGGTATGAGGGCTGTGATGTCATTCAAGGCAGTGGCCAGCATTCAGCTTGCTGGATCTCACATTCAGCTTGCTGGATCTCGCATTCAGCTTGCTGGATCTCCCATTCAGCTTGCTGGATCTCGCATTCAGCTTGCTGGATCTCGCATTCAGCTTGCTGGATCTCGCATTCAGCTTGCTGGATCTCGCATTCAGCTTGCTGGATCTCGCATTCAGCTTGCTGGATCTCGCATTCAGCTTGCTGGATCTCGCATTCAGCTTGCTGGATCTCGCATTCAGCTTGCTGGATCTCGCATTCAGCTTGTTGGATCTCGCATTCAGCTGGCTGGATCTCGCATTCAGCTGGCTGGATCTCGCGAAATTCACGATATTTTACGCCAAATATAAGACTTGGTTACATTAGGTAGTGCTCGCGAAATTAAAAAACGCAAAATGAAATCGCGCAAAATGTGAGATCTTACTGTACTGTATTTTGCACACCCCAGGAACCTGTATGAAGAACTCGCGGATTTTGGTTTCTCGCAGGGTCCATTTTACTTAACCTCTGCTAGCTTTAAGGGAATACTGTATTGTCTCTTCTCGGGAACTTGTCCAAATGACAAGAAGAAAAGTTCTCATTATGAAATAAAAAATATTTCTAAGGGTTTTTTGTTAGGAAATTTGATCTTTGCTGAATCGATGTTTTCTAGACTTAGTGTTTATTGAACTCACATTAGAGTGAGAGAGAGTTCTCTGAATGGGCATCAGAATCAATAGATGCACGGCTAACAAGACATCTTGTTTTACAGGCTGGACAGAGCAAGCGTATCTGGAATGAGCTTTACAAAGTAATAGATTCCTCGGATGTAGTACTGCAGGTTCTTGATGCCAGAGACCCTATGGGAACACGGTCCAAACTGATTGAGAAATATATGCGTACTGAAACACCTCATAAGCATCTTATATTTGTTTTAAATAAGGTAAGTAAATATTAAGTTACTTTCCTCCACACAGGTAAATGTTGCCTTCTTTCATGGTAGTACACAGTTTAATTTATTCATGGGCCTTCACTGTGTTAGTAATTTTCTCCCTGTATACAATTATTACATAATTTTATTTTATCCTTACCTTTGATGGGTTGAACTTTAGGAAAACCAAATACTTTATACACACACCTTTTACTTTCCATAACTGGATGTTACCACTGGATAGAAACAAGGCTGCTGCTGTGTGGTTAATGGTCCTGCAGTGCACTTGAAATTTATTCTAAATACAGTTCATAAAGTATTGTACAGTAATTTTGTATTCTCTTCTCCAGGTTGATTTAGTGCCTGTATGGGTGACACAGAAGTGGGTGGCCATCTTAAGTGCTGAGTATCCAAGTCTTGCTTTCCATTCCTCTATCACCAATCCTTATGGCAAAGGTGCCTTGATCAACCTCCTACGCCAGTTTGGAAAATTACACGGAGATAAGAAACAAATCAGCGTTGGTCTCATTGGGTTTCCAAATGTTGGCAAGAGCTCAATAATCAACACATTGAAAGCCAAAAAGGTGAGATTTATTTGTTATGCTGTTGTGGGGTGTGGCGGATGAGTGGATATAGCACTCCCCTCTTGTCCTCAGGAACACTTACCTAGTGGTGAATGGGTACCTATCTTTACAGATGGTCAAGTACAGTGCTGGCCACACTGCCTCCATGTACTGTATTAAAAAAAAATAGATAGCCACAGTATGATGTGCAAGATGTCTAGTTTAAACACTCAGAAACTTTTCCCAGTAACCGGAAAAGATTCCGGGGATAAGGAAATTTTCCGGATGTGAGAAAGTCGTCTGGTTAGCCAAAAATCTTTCATCCCCGGAAGTGCTCTGCACCAATTGTTCCGGCTTACAGGCATATCACTCTTAGTAGACTCAATAGAGGAAATAGACAATACACTTATGATGTTCAAATACAATTTAGTTTTTGGCACTTAAGTTTTAAATTGGATAGTGTGAAGGGTTTTATCCAGTGTAACCCTACCAAACAATTCAAGTACTGTATGTGGTTCTTTTCACTTAGTACAGTGGTCCCTTGGTTAACGAACTCAATTCGTTACAGAGGGTCGTTCGTTAACCGAAACCATTGTTTCAATGGGATTTGGGGTAATTGGTTCCAGCTCACTGAAAATTACATATAAAGTAAAAAAAAAATGCAGTAAAGTACACTTACTTTGAGGTGTGTATGTAGAAGGCTCCTGGTTGATGATGCTGATGTGAATTTGAAGTGGGAGGTGGAGGAGGAGAAGGGAGAAGAGAAGGAAGTGGGGATGGAAGAAAAATCACCCCATGATTGATGCCGTCATTTCACCAATAAAATTTTAAATTCACTTGGTGTAATTCAAGATTATTTTCTTTAAATCAACACTGCACTGCACTATATATTGCCAACTACAATGGTCCCTCAGTTAACGAACTCAATTCATTCCAGAGGGTCGTTCGTTAACCGAAACCATTGTTTCAATGGGATATTGGGTAATTGGTTCCAGCTCACAGAAATGTTTATACAAAGTAAAGCCAAAAATGCATATAGTCAGAAACACTCCTAAACTGCCCTTAAATCACTATATATATATATATATATATATATATAAATATATATATATATATATATATAAAAAAAAAAAAAAAAAAAAAAAAAAAAAAAAAAATATATATATATATATATATATATATATATATATATATATATATATATATAAAAAAAAAAATATATATATATATATATATATATATATATATATATATATATATGAGTGATTTAAGAGCATATAGGAAATTTAATGAAAAAATAAATTATTGATTTACATGATGTATATATATATATATATATATATAAAAAAAAAAAAAAAAAAAAAAAAAAAAAAAAAAAAAAAAAAAAAAAAAAAAATATATATATATAATATGTACACATGTGTATATGTATGTAAAGCATAACAAAATAATAATATGTATATGTATATATATATATATATATATATATATATATATATATATATATATATATATATATATATATATATATATATATATATATATATATATATATATATATATATATATATATATATATATATATATATATATATATATATATATATATATATATATATATATATATATATATATATATATATATATATATATATATCATGTAAACCACAATGATTTTTTCCACATATATGCAGTGTCGGCTTCGAGGCGCTATTTTAGATTTGCCCACCGCCACCCTGCCTGACTGCCTGTTTTAGCTCATAAAATTCTACAAATTACCCGGCCAGAATATAATTTACATTGCTGGAATTCTTATAATTTGGTGATCATTTTGAATATAAACATCATATATTTTGCATTAGACATACAAATTTTAGATAAAATTTTCTCAGAGTAACTATGTTATCTTTTGTGCAAAATATATGACATTTATATTCAAAATATTCCTAATCTTACAAGGAATCCAGCAATGTCAATTATATTATCCTAACTTTAGTTTGAGGTATTATTTATTAAAAATTTAGTGGATTATCCACACATCTCCTTGGGCCGGTTGGTGGTGGTGGGGGAGGGAGGGACGACCGCCATCTATTACCCGTGAAGAATTATTTTTTTTATTAAATGAAGATATTTGTTTTAGCTCATAAAATTCATACAAATTACGGTCTGAATATAATTTACATTGCTGGAATTCTTATAATTTGATGATGATCATTTTGAATATAAACATCATATATTTTGCATTAGACATACAAATTTTAGATAAAAATTTTTCTCAAATTAACTATGTTATCTTTTGTGCAAAATATATGACATTTATATTCAAAAATATTCCTGGTCTTACAAGATAGCAATGTCAATTATATTATCCTAACTTAATCTGAGGTATTATTTAATACTAAATGTTAAAAACTCTGGAAGGAGGATTGGTGGGAGTGGGGGAGGGTTGGGACTGACCATGCGGTTGGAAGAGTGGAGGCAAGGTGGGGTACTTTGATTGACAGATAATTAATGATGAAGATTATTTTTTTTATTAAATGAAGATATTTGTTTTAGCTCATAAAATTCATACAATTACCGGTCAGAATATAATTTACATTGCTGGAATTCTTATAATTTGGTGATCATTTTGAATATAAACATCATATATTTTGCATTAAACATACAAATTTTAGATAAAAATTTTTCTCTAGGTAACTATGTTATCTTTTGTGCAAAATATATGACATTTCTATTCAAAATATTCCTGGTCTTACAAAGGAATCCAGCAATGTCAATTATATCTAACTAGTTTGAGAATTATTATTTATTAAAATTTAGTGGTTTTCCCCAAACATTTCTCTGAGAGGAAGAGCGGCAGTGTAGTGTGAGAGGGAGGAGTTTAGTCCATTATTTGAATGGACATTAACTTGGCGACTGTATTTCTCTATTTCTCTTAAGTATTAATTGTGTGCATGTACCATCATAAAATTAAGATGTTATTTTTACTACAACATAGGTATGTGCCTTCAAAAGTGGAGTTTGGGGGTGGGCGGTTTCTATTGGAATTAATCCCATATGTTCTTGTTGTTCACTTACTTGTAGTTCCTTACGGGACCCTCTGGGTTCAATTGACCGCGTTAAGTGGGGTACAACTGTGTGTATATATATATATATATATATATATATATATATATATATATATATATATATATATATATATATATATATATATATATATATATATATATATATATATATATATATATACATACATATATATACATACAGTAGTACTCGAATTTTGGTCAATTGAACCCACAGTGCAGCGTTAAGAGTAATCACACAATGGAACAACAGAACATATGGGATTATTCAACAGAGACTAACCCCAAACTCTACTCCGACACAATACCTATGTTCAAAATAAAACATCTTATTACATGGCACATACAACAAACTAAGACGTCGCAGTTATGTCATCAAATAATACAACTCACACCTGGCCTTCCGAAACCACATATAAATACACCCAAACTAAAAGAGATAATATAATTGACATTGCTGGATTCACTAACAAGTATTAGAAATAAAAGTCATATTTTGCACAAAAGACAACATATATTACTCAAAGTAACATTATATCCAAAATTTTGTATGTCTTACAAAAATCTATGATTTATATTCAAAAATGATCATATAAAATTCCAGCAATAAAATATATTCTGGCAGTAATTAACTTTATGAACTAAATAAAAAAAATTATTATACTTCACACGTATATGAGTAGATGAACGTGTTAAGTGAAAGTTCGGTTCTGGCGAGGGCACGTATATGAAATGGTGTTAAGTGAAACCAGCGTAAAGGGGTAATACTGTGTGTGTATATATATATATATATATATATATATATATATATATATATATATATATATATATATATATATATATATATATATATATATATATATATAGATATATATATTTGTGTAATAAATGTATGTAGTAAGTATGTACAGTAATCTTTTTCACTCAAATCCTAATGAAACACTAATGAATTAGAATACTGTAGCTGGTGTAAGCAGTGGGAACAGTCCCACCACCAATTGTCTCTCGTGAGGCAAGCTTATAAATTAAAGAAAACGCTTGCAGTGTGTTTAATATATTACAGTATGTTATAAATACGTAAATAAATAAGCAAATAAATCGGTAAATCCATTTTAAGGAAATGGAAAATTTTTACTCGACACCGACATTAGTTCCAGTTAAATATCAGACGCTTAAGTGAGTCACTAGTGTTTACACTACACCAACCGGTAACATTTGATGCCATTACTTGAAGTGAATTGGCCTTATTTAAAAAAATCAAGGATGTGTAAACAGCACTGGTCAATGGGATGGTTGGTAAAGGACTACTGGGTCAGTAAGCTCGTAATGGTAAGTGTCACATTTGGGGTGCGGTCTTATACAGCGAATAGGGCTCAAAGCTACTTTTAAATGGACATTTTGGGGTCATCTTACACACCCGTCGCCTTGTAGGCGAGATATCGTGTAATTACCTTCCATAAGAATCTTTATTTGGTTAACGAACAAAAATGCAGAAATTCTTCTGAAATCATGTCAACATGTTTTCGCTTGCTCTCAACTGGAATATTGATCCGCCAATACAGTAATCGGTTCTAGGGCTTAAATTCGTTCCCATTTGAGTAAATATCAAGAAGGTTGTACTATTCAATAATTTTCCAAGTTTTGTATTAAAATTTTTAGTCATTTTAACACTTATTTAACATAATTGGAGTACAGGAAACTAGTTTTTGGTGTGCCCAACAGCCACTTGACTCACCCACAAAGGCGTCAGTTTGTATATCTGGTCAGTGGAGGTAACATCTTGCTTGTGGCTGTCTTGAACATAAACTATTTATACGTTTTTATAGCACAATTATTGGTCATTCTGAAATTTATTTAACATATTGATAATATATAGTGCAGTGCAGTGTTGATTTAGATAAAATAATCTTTATTTACAGCAATTAAACTTAAAAT